ACATGCCTGGATTGTGAGATCGATCCCCAGAGGGGTGCTTGCAGGAGGCAGCCGATCCATGACTCTCTCATCATTGAGGTTTCTCTCTCCCTTCCTCTCTCTGAAATCAATAAAAATATATTTTAAAAAGAAGGAAGGGAGGGGAAGGGCCTTTGGATTTCAGTTCTGCTTTCTGGCGACCCTGGCCATTGGCCAGCGTCCGAGTCTGCAGACCCCGTGTTCTGGATGTTGGTGAGGGGGGTGGCAATGGCACAGACAGGCTGGCCTGCAACTTCAAGCTCATGGTCCCTGCTGGTTTCCCAGGGAGCTTGCTCATGGCTGTTGGCATGTGAGATGGGAGGGGCTGGGATGTTGGTGGGTACCAGCCAGGGGAGGGCCTGTCAGCTCAGTGCAGAGGGGGTGAGGGGGTCTGACATGTCTTATCCCAGCTCCCTGCTGCTTATGCTCCAAGAGGGACCCTGGATCCCCCCTCCAGGCAATGGCAGGTGGGCGACACATTCCCCTCATAGCCGGCCTTGGTGTCTCCTTTCTTGCCCCTGGGTGACCATTCCCTCTCACTGGGCACCTAGGACCAGAGAAAGAGAAGACCATTCTCTAAGCACGTCCAAGGGCCAGGCCCTGTGCTGGGTGGGTGGGAGTGCGGCTTCCTTTGCTCAGGGTCCGAGGTACCATGCCCCACTGGACCAAAGTCCGGGCTCCGTGTGGCCAATCCCTTGTAGCGCTGGCTGAGCAACTTGGTCACCTTGGCTCAGTAATGTGGGCAGCCTCTCTGAGCCTCAGTTTTCTAGTGTGTAAAATGGAGTAACCAGACTCCTTCCCTCCCAGGACTGTGGGAGGGTGAGCCAGGGTGGGGAGGTGCCAGCCTGGGAACTGCTGTGCCTCTGGGACCTGCTTTGCCCTGGGGCCTGGGCAGTGCTGCCAGAGTTCTAGGTGAGAGCAGATCTGACGCGTTGCTTTTTATTTTTTCACTTATTTCCTAACCCTCACCTGAGGATATTTTTTCCATTGCTTCTCAGAGAGAGTGGAAGGGGGAGAGAGGGAGGGAAACACCGATGTGAGAGAGACACATCAATTGGTTGCCTCCCACACATGTTCCGACGGGCTGGGGTTCAGGCCCGCAACTGAGGTATGTACCCGTGGCCAGAATCAAACCCGGGACCCTTCAGTCCTCAGGCTGATGCTCTAACCACTGAACCAAACTGGCTAGGGCTTACCTGTTGCTTTTTAAAAAAAAATCGAGGTGAAATTCACATAACGTGCATTAAGCATTTGAAAGCGGGCATTTCACTGGTATTTAGTGTACCCGTCATGGGTCACCACCAGCTCTCTGGTTTCAAAGCTAATGTTTTATTTTAAGGCAGGAACTGGGGTAGAGGAAGTGGTCCAGCTCGGACCCTGACCTTGAGCATTTGAACAGTGGCTCGGCTTCTCGAACCCCAGGGTTTGTAACTATAAATAGTGAGAACGACAGTAATAGCGGCAGCCGGCCTTGCATGGCACTTCATGAAAGCCTTTTAGAAATATGAAGACGGCCACCTGCAAGGGCAGATGTCACTGTGTCGTCCATTCCCCGCAGCCTGGGGAAATCAAGGCACTTGCCCAAAGTCACAGAACCAGTGGGCATCAGAGCCAGGGTTTGTGTCTTTGTTTCCCCCCAGGACCCTTCTGTCCAATCCTGCCCCACGGTGGCTGACTGGCCTGTTAGAGGCCCGGGCCCTGGCCCCACGCCCGTTTCCGACAGGGAGGAGCTTTCAGCCCAGACTGTGGCTAAATTAAGTCTGAATTAATGAAAATTTAATACAACTTGAGATGTGGTTCCTTGGTCTCACCAGCCACATTTCGAGTTGCCACAGTGGCCAGCGCCTGCTGCAGTGTCCAGGGCAGACGTAGCACAGGTGTTGGGCACCGCTGGTTATGGGGCCGGTGGGTGTCATTTGGCTGGACCCTGATCTGATGGGGATGGCGGGCAGGACAGCAGGAATGCTCTCCCGGGCCTTCTCCTGGTGTCCCGAGCATGACTGCCCCTGGGAGGGGTGCAGCGCTGGATTGCTGGGCGCCGGGGCTCACCCCAGCCGTGCCCTGAGCCCTGTGACTTGTGGCTGTCTGTGGTTGTCCATGGTCCTCTGTGCCCCTCGAAGGGCGGCGAGACTACCTGTGAGGTGGAGGTTGAGCGCGCACAGCGTGGGGACCGCTGTGGGCTGGGTTTCCCGTTATTACGGTGAAGGGTGATAGTTGGTTACGGTTGCCCTCGCGTTTTAGGTTTCCGGTCACTGGTCTTTGCTTTGTTGAGTGAGTTACTTAGGTGGGTGAGCTGGTGGCACAGGGGCCTGTGGTCACCAAGGGGTGGCCTGGGACCCAGGGTGGGGGCCAGGCCTTCAGCTCAGCCAGTGGTGGGAGGAAGGAAATCCCTCCCACCCCAGGCTGTGCTGGAGGATTTGACTGTCACTGTCCCTGGAGCCTGGGAAGCCCACACCCTTCTTGGTGAACCCAGGTGGCCAATGCTGGGTCCCTGGGGGTGGGGGTGAGGAGCTGGGGGGGTAAGGGGGCACACCTAGACCATGAGAAGAGTGTCAGGTATGCTGGTGGGGCTCAGAAAGCAGTCTGGAAATGCTGGTGACATGGAGTGGGGTCAGCTGTCCGTGCCCCACCCCAGGGAGACCAGCCAGGAGGGCCCCAGGGTGGCATGCGGTGTCCTTGGGGGTCGGGCTGGGCTTGCCTTCTCTCCTAATGCTGCCACCTGCTCTCGTCCTGTAACACTCAAATGCTCGGTCCAGAGCTGGCACCACCTGTGCCAGGACGTGGCTGGGAGTGAGGGCCCCCGCCCTCACCCACATGGAGGGCTCCGCTGCCCGCTGGGACACAGATCTATACTTCCACTTGTCCTGGGTGGGGACAGTGATTGGGGCTGGGATCCCGTGGCCCGAGGACACAGGGAAGGCCCAAGCAGATTGAGCGAGGAGGGGACTTAGAAGGAGGCCTGGGGACTGGCACCAGAGGGCCAGGTGGAAGGGAGGTGGGCACCCGGCTTCCTGCAACCCCAGGTTTATCTAGTGTGTGCCTGAGGTCCGTCACTTGGCCATTTGCGGGGAGGGTAGTGTGGGGAGGGGGGAGGGCAGTGGGTTTGTGCAAATAGATGCCTCTGTCGTGCTTGCTGTTCGGGGGCGGGAGCTTGGGCACCGTTGAGCCCCAAACTGTGGCGGGCTTGAGCCGTTGGCAGCATCCGGGCCTGGGGTGCTGCTGGGCGGGTTTCACAAGCCTGGGCAGGGGCAGGTCCGGGCCACTGGGCTTCCGCGGCCCGGGGCAGGAAGAGCTGGCGGCTGATGTAAGCCCCGCGCAGACTTCTGGCTGCCGGCTTCCGGAGCCTTCCACCCCTGCCTGCCAAGGAGGAAGCCTGGGGCTTGGCAGGGCCTATAGGCCCCGATGCCAGGCCTGGACCACATGGGTGGACTGACTGGCCACCATGGCCCTGGGTCCCGAGGCCTCGGCGCTGGAGTCTGGTGAGGGGCCTGCACAGGGCTGGGCTACAGGCTGGGGGCCCGGATGTGTGTGTGGGGGGGTGACAGCGCCAGTGTCCTCCTGTCGTTCAGCCTGCTGCCGTCACCACCCCAGGGGACCGAGGCGGAGGCCCTGCTCCTTGCAGTCTCAGTTTCCCTATAAGTACCCGAAAGGACCGGGTGGATGTTTTGTGATCTTGGGACCCGAGGGGTGGTGAATAAGTACCTGTTGGAGGCAGGGCCTGCCTGTGGGGCTGCTGGGGACCCACAGGTTGGGTGGGGCTCTGGGAGCCAACGAGGGCCAGGTTGGGGCCTCCTGGGCCCCAGAATCACATGTCCTCTGCATGCCCCCTGCAGTTACTTTCCTCTGGGCCGTCACAGACAGTACCTGCCTCACAGGGACTTGGACAGGTCACCCCAGGGACACATGGGAAGCACAGCTAGGGGGGCTGGAGCTGGCCCCGCTGGGTGCTGGTGACAGCTCTGCATGGAGGCCTCTGTCCCTCCTGAGGGTGTTTCTGGAGGACTGAATCCCCCCCCCAGTGCTTCCAGTGGGGCATTGTCTCCATTTTGCTAATGAGCAAACTGAGGCCAGGGAAGGAAGCCCCTTGCCTAAGTCTTGCAGGCTCCCCTGGCCTGTGACTGAAGGCCTGCCAGGGTCTTCCCTGGAAGGTGGGGTGCATGGGTCTTGAGGGGCAGCGCCCTGGGTGGTGGAAGTGAGGAGGCATCTCTTCAGGTGTGAGCTTGGCCAAATGGGGCGTGGCAGGAGCATGTGCGGTTTCCACCCTGGTCCCAGCCGACTGTCCTGACAAGCAGCGGTCACTACACCCCCATTTGGGGGGCCCTGGGTGGGGGATTCTGCTCTCTGGGCAGGGCTTCCTGGCACAGGCATAGGCTCTCATGCTTACGACTCTCATTCGTTCACTGATTTCATTCACTAAATCACGGTAGTTTGGGGACCCAGTGAGTTACTGCTCACTGGCTGTGGGATCAGGTACTTTCCATACCTAAGCCTCAGCTTGCTCATCTGTTAAATGGGTGCATGGGGCCTGCTGAGGACTTAGGGGGTCTGGGCCTGCCCAGGGCTGCTGTGGGGTCCTTGGGGAGGTCATTCTCTGACTCGTGGTTGTCTTCCTGGTCCTGGAGCCCAGAACAGGGAGTAGGGGTTCAGGCCATGAGCCCCCCGCCACCTCCTTACTCAATGGCCTTGGGAGGTCGCTGCTCACCAGAGCCTCAGCGTGCCTCGTCTGTAGATAGGGAGAACTGTACTCCACCTTTGGGCCAAGAGCGCTGGGGCACTGCCCTTGGGGTGAGGGTCTGCTGCGATGATTTCCTTGCTCTGTCTGCTTGAGTTGACCCAGGCCCATCCTGAAGCCAAGGGGCAGGGGTGAGGCGGCCAATGTCAGCCTCGCAGTGGGGAGAGACAGGGAGAGACAGGGATCCTGGGGCAGTGGGCCAGGCAGCGGTGGCCTGGTGGCTGCCTGACAGCCCCCCTTCTCTCTGCAGGCGAGGCCTTCTTGGGCAGCTTTGTGGCCAGCGGGATGGGGCCCTCGGCCTCGTCCCATGGGAGCCCGGTGCCCCTGCCCTCTGACCTCTCCTTCCGCTCCCCCACCCCCAGCAACCTGCCCATGGTGCAGCTGTGGGCCACCCATGCCCATGAAGGTAAGGAGTGTCCCGTGGGCGGGGTGAGGGCTGCTGTCCCCAGCACTTTCCAAGTCTGCCCACTCCCCTCCCTTTCCAGGGTCACCCCTCTGGGCTGTGGTGGGCTCAGCTTTGTCACTGGGCACCCCTGCTGTTTTTCAGTGCTCAGTGCTTCCTCTTGTTGCTGTCACAGGACCTTTGCATGAACTGTTTCCTTGCTTGCAGCCCCTCACCCCACCCCATCCCACTGGCTGTCCCCTGTTCATCCTTTAGGCCCCCCTCCTGCCCCCCCATCACCTCTCACTGGGTCTGCGGATTTATCTGTGTGTTTATTTGTGAAATATCCATTTTGCTACCAGAGTGAGCTCTGAGGGCAGGGCCTGGTTTGTTCAGCTCGCCTGTCTCCCTGGCGCAGTCAGGTCGTTAATCATGGGAGCAGTGGGACCAGGGTCCACTGGGCTCTCCTGTTGCAGTTCTGCAGTGATGCCCCTAAATGTGGGGGGTCCATGGGTCTGGCTTCCTGCCGGCGCTGAGCAAATCTGGATCTCCCTGGAGCCTCAGTTTCCCCTGTCAAGGGGATGGGTCAAGGGGGGTCTCTGCGTTCCTTCCCCACCTTTGGCTCTGGTGCATTTTGGATGCTGCGTGCTAGCTCCCTCCTCCTGCCTCCTNGTGAAGGGATGGGTCAAGGGGGGTCTCTGCGTTCCTTCCCTACCTTTGGCTCTGGTGCATTTTGGATGCTGCGTGCTAGCTCCCTCCTCCTGCCTCCTGGGTGTCCCGTGGTACTCCCGGTGCTGGAAGATTAGGGTACTGAGAGCACCCACTGCAGGCCTAGACCACAGTTGCCCCATTTCCTCTGTGTGTCAGAGCCTCAGCAAGTGCTCCTGCCATTGCCCCCCATTGTGTGTGCCCTGCACAGTAGTTCTAACTCTAGGCGTGGGATGCTGGGCAGTCCGTCTGGGTGGGGTCCCATCTGAGCCCACATTAGCCCCCCAGGGGCTACTTCTGGTGCCTGTGTGCCATCAGCCCCTCTGCCCTCCCTGACACTCCCATTTTCCCCTTTGCCAAAAATTACTAGTAATAATGATAGCAAACATAGGGTGCTGTGTGCCAGGCGCTGCATACTTAAACCCGCTTTATCCTCAGAACAAGCCGGGAGGTGAAAACATTATACCCATTTTACAGATTAGAAAACATAGGAGTGGTTTCAATGATTAAATGAGGTAACATGTATCTGGGGGTCTTGATTATTTAATGTCATTATCAGATGGCCCTGTGGGGGAAGCCCTGGGCCCAGTGTGGCCAGGGACAGCCCTGCATCCCAGGAACGGGGGCCCCAATCCCTCAGGGATGTCCAATGGGCCTGTGGTCCTATAGGACCCATAGCCGGGGCAGAGCATCAGGACCCTTCCTATGCCCAGCACCCACCTGACTGGCCTTCTGGGCCCTCCCGAGCTGATCTTGAGCGTCCATCCCGTGTGCCCACTTAGGGTGCTGTGTGCCAGGCGCTGCATACTTAAACCCGCTTTATCCTCAGAACAAGCCGGGAGGTGAAAACATTATACCCATTTTACAGATTAGAAAACATAGGAGTGGTTTCAATGATTAAATGAGGTAACATGTATCTGGGGGTCTTGATTATTTAATGTCATTATCAGATGGCCCTGTGGGGGAAGCCCTGGGCCCAGTGTGGCCAGGGACAGCCCTGCATCCCAGGAACGGGGGCCCCAATCCCTCAGGGATGTCCAATGGGCCTGTGGTCCTATAGGACCCATAGCCGGGGCAGAGCATCAGGACCCTTCCTATGCCCAGCACCCACCTGACTGGCCTTCTGGGCCCTCCCGAGCTGATCTTGAGCGTCCATCCCGTGTGCCCACTTAGGCGTCTTGTTTCTCCGCGGCCTTTCCCGTCTTCTCTGTCCCGCAAGGCCCTGATTCTGGGATCATTGGTAGGGAGGCTGGGAGGACCCTCAGCAGGAAGAATTCTTGGTGTCCAGAGATGTTGGGTGAGCTGAGGTTCAGAGAAGGCCAGTGATCTGCTTGGGGTCCCACAGCAGGGAAGGGGCCAATGAACCAATTATGCCATGTCTGTGTTGGGTTGAGATTAGGAATCCTGGTGACCTTGGTTCAAAACCAGGCTCCTCTGCTGTGTGACCTTGGCCAAGTGGTCCTCTCTGAGTCTCAATTTTCTCATCTATAAAATGGGGGTATTAAGAGTATCACAGTTTTTGGTTTTTGTTTGTTTGTTAGAGTTTAAGTGGGAATAATAAAGGCAAAGCAGCGATTGGTCTGATGAGACCTGCCACCCTCTTCATCACCCTCCGAGGTGGACCCATCTGATTCTCCTGGTGGATTTCAGAGCCAGAGCCCCCGAAGGCTGCCAGGACTATACGGGAGGGAGGCCCAAAAAGCCCCTGGGTTGGGAGAGTGGCAAGCCTCACCCCGGGCAGCTGGTGTGAAACCTCAGGCTCCTTGCACTGGGGGCCAACAGCCAAGGGAAAGAGGCCAGAGGGGACGCTCCTTGTGGGAGGCACGAGGTGGTCTAGTCCACTTTTCTTCTCTCTCTCTTCCAGGCTTCTCCCACCTGCCCAGTGGGCTGTACCCATCCTACCTCCACCTGAACCACCTGGAGCCCCCCNGAACAAGCCGGGAGGTGAAAACATTATACCCATTTTACAGATTAGAAAACATAGGAGTGGTTTCAATGATTAAATGAGGTAACATGTATCTGGGGGTCTTGATTATTTAATGTCATTATCAGATGGCCCTGTGGGGGAAGCCCTGGGCCCAGTGTGGCCAGGGACAGCCCTGCATCCCAGGAACGGGGGCCCCAATCCCTCAGGGATGTCCAATGGGCCTGTGGTCCTATAGGACCCATAGCCGGGGCAGAGCATCAGGACCCTTCCTATGCCCAGCACCCACCTGACTGGCCTTCTGGGCCCTCCCGAGCTGATCTTGAGCGTCCATCCCGTGTGCCCACTTAGGCGTCTTGTTTCTCCGCGGCCTTTCCCGTCTTCTCTGTCCCGCAAGGCCCTGATTCTGGGATCATTGGTAGGGAGGCTGGGAGGACCCTCAGCAGGAAGAATTCTTGGTGTCCAGAGATGTTGGGTGAGCTGAGGTTCAGAGAAGGCCAGTGATCTGCTTGGGGTCCCACAGCAGGGAAGGGGCCAATGAACCAATTATGCCATGTCTGTGTTGGGTTGAGATTAGGAATCCTGGTGACCTTGGTTCAAAACCAGGCTCCTCTGCTGTGTGACCTTGGCCAAGTGGTCCTCTCTGAGTCTCAATTTTCTCATCTATAAAATGGGGGTATTAAGAGTATCACAGTTTTTGGTTTTTGTTTGTTTGTTAGAGTTTAAGTGGGAATAATAAAGGCAAAGCAGCGATTGGTCTGATGAGACCTGCCACCCTCTTCATCACCCTCCGAGGTGGACCCATCTGATTCTCCTGGTGGATTTCAGAGCCAGAGCCCCCGAAGGCTGCCAGGACTATACGGGAGGGAGGCCCAAAAAGCCCCTGGGTTGGGAGAGTGGCAAGCCTCACCCCGGGCAGCTGGTGTGAAACCTCAGGCTCCTTGCACTGGGGGCCAACAGCCAAGGGAAAGAGGCCAGAGGGGACGCTCCTTGTGGGAGGCACGAGGTGGTCTAGTCCACTTTTCTTCTCTCTCTCTTCCAGGCTTCTCCCACCTGCCCAGTGGGCTGTACCCATCCTACCTCCACCTGAACCACCTGGAGCCCCCCAGCAGCGGGAGCCCCCTCCTCAGCCAGCTGGGTCAGCCCAGCATTTTTGATACCCAGAAAGGTGAGGAGGCAGGAGAGGGAGACAGGATTGTGGGGTGGGAAGACCTTCCAAAGGGTTTCTCTGGGGCCCCCACCACTGCACAGTCAGTATTCCAGGCAGCCCCCATCCCCTAAGGCCCCCACAGTTTTGCTGGGCAGCCCCCCTTTCCCCAGCCTTCTGGAGCTTTCTAGTTGTGCTCTGCTAGGCGACCTTCTTAGGCGCTCTGAGCTGCTCTTAACACAACACCAGCCTCTCTCCCCCTTTCACAGATGGGAAAACCGAGGCCCAGAACCGTTAGTCGAGCGAGATTTAAATTCGGTTGTGTCCATCTCCAGATGCTGGCCTCTGAAGGGCTGCTCTGTGCGACGCCCTCCTTCCTGACCCTGGCCTGGGGTCTCAGGGCACCCTTTTGCACCCTTGGGGGGGGCTCCTTCAGCTCTGGCCGCCAGAGGGGGCGCGCGCTCACCCCCCGTGCGCTCTCTTCTCCGCAGACGGCTTCTACCTGCCTGCCCCAGGGGCTCCGGGCGCCCTGCACTCTCAGGCGCCCTCCTCCAGGACCCCAGGCGGCCACTCCTCGGGCGCCTCGGCCAAAGGCTCCTCGCGGGAAGGTGCAGCCAAGGAGCGCGCGGGCCGCGGCGGGGAGCCTCCGCCGCTGTTCGGCAAGAAGGACGCGCGGGCCCGGGAGGAGGCC